AAAATAGTGATAACTTAGGGACGGACCATTAGAAAAGTTATGGGGGGGGGGGGGGGGGAATTTTCGAGCTGCAGGAATTTTTTTTCGTTATCAAATTCCTCGAATGAATTTTTTTCAGGCCCTTGCATGAATATTTCTTAGGGGTTAATTGGCTTGCAAGAATTTTTTTTCATTTAATTTTCCCTTGCGCGAATTTTTTTTTGTACTTCGCCCGCCCCCCCATAAGTTTTCTAATGGTCCGTCCCTTAGCAGAGAAAAATCATAACACATGATTTGGCAGAACTTCAGTCATCATCACATGTGGTTCCGCTACAATTATCACGCGTGATGAAAGCATCGTGCATGTCTCTCGATAATTCTCCAGCAAGTGAAGCTGAGTAAAATCATATACGCTAATTCAAGGCCAGTCTTACATGAAAATTAGTTTTTGAATTACATCGAACGATCCCACACGGTAATTTCCTGTGAAATCGAACTGTCCGTCAGTTTAAAGTGAAAAAACCATGAACCCTGCCGACTGGCCCTGACGAAGCGGAAAGCAGTTTAATCCTATCGCTAAAACACGCTAAATTAGGTGTGATTTAGAAGAGGCCGAGTTTTATAAGTGGAAATATCAATAACAACAACAACTTTACTTGCAAACAATTTACTCGAAGATAGGTCTTTCACTTGCAAATTTATGCACTTCTAGTTACATGTTAAACCGGTACTTAAACTTAAAGACATATAAGTAATTAAATTTACCCTTGCATTAGCATGAGTGGCCTGTTGGTCTAGTGGCATGATTCTCGCTTTGGGTGCGAGAGGCCCCGGGTTCGACTCCCGGACAGGCCCCATTACCTTTTCTTTTTCTTTTTTCTTTTTTTTTTTAACCTCTTACTTGATCTTTTTTTTTTTCGGATATCAGCTTTTTGGTTTCTTTTATAAGTAAACTTAAAAATCTAATCCCAAAAATTTCATGCCAACTATTAGCATTTGTCATTTGTTTGTAAAATTTCTGCCGCCATTGAAGTTCGCTTTATATTGCTTTTAATAACCAAACGCAGAGTCAAACCGGTCTCCCGCTCATTAAAAGGACAGGATACTTGTGGCCTGCGACCATTCCCTCATTGCTGTAATGGTTAGTTTGCACAATGTAAAGTTCACAATTAAACCACAGGCACACCAAGCTCAGATTTAAAACTCGCTGGAGTCGCGCTGAATTGGCAAAAAGTGCTAAGAACACACCGTAAATTAGTATAGGTAAAAGCGTGAATTGTAGTGATGTTTGGCATAAATACCACTAGGGATATTTTGAAATTGTTATACGTAATTTCACGAACCTGTGGTGAGTGAAATTTGAGGCAATTTTGAAATATCGTAAGTGGTATTTATGCCAAACATCACGTACAAATCATGCTATTATTTGTTTATACAACTACCCGCAAAAGGTTTGTAATCTTCACATGTAGGTATTTCAAATTAAGCTGAAATACCACTGCTCTAAGCCAATCAAATTGAAGAAATTTATCATGTAGTGGTATAAGGAGAAAAATTCTGTTGTCTTTTTGTTGGTATTTTTGACCCCTAAATAACAATCGCTAAAATCCCCATAAAAACCCTAATAACATTTCTGTGACGCTACATTGCAACAAAGATTCTCACTCGTGAGTGTGGGGTACCTGTGGTTAAACCCCACTCTATGATAATCCGGTTACCTCATAGACTGCAGAACAGTTGGTTTTTTTCGGTAAAGCGTGGCGTGAGAGTCTTACGCGCGCGAACGGCGCGAGCCTCACACGCCCGTAAGGCGTATTTTTAGCATCTCTCCCCAGTCTCGCTCTCTGTTTTCAGCCTCGTTCCAGACCTTTTGTTTGACTTCCGCGAGTACTTGAATACGCTAAAATACGGACTGTTTTGCAGTCTAGTTACCTCACTAATTTTTCCTCTCTTTTGCTGCGCGATAGCTAGTGTGAGCAAGACACGAATGAAAAATAACGATAGAAGCAGAGTTTTCTGGCGTTCGGTTGAGAAAAATATAAGAATCAGTTGACTAGACCGCGATATATAAAATGTCGGCAAGTCCACAGCAACAAACCAGTGAGTGGTGCCGGATCTCCTAGTTGTAGACCTGGATCAGTACAATTAAACATGTAGGAAAATATGAAACGACAAACTGATCCTTACGGCAAGGCGATGAAGAAGTAATCAAAAGAATAAAACAAAAATCTATTTAAACAAATTGCGCTTTTAGTTTTATTTCCATTTTTCTTTTAGCCCCTGAAGAAGGTTTGTTTTCAAACCGAAATATTGGGCCATTTGTTTAAATGTATATTTTTTTGCTTTATTCTTTTGTTTACTTGTTCACCGCCTTGCCGTAAGGATCAGTCTGCCGTTTCATATTTTTCGACTAGACCGCGGCTTAGGGCGACTTCTTAAGTGGATAAATTCTCTCCAAGATCGAAATTATAAGTGTTCGAGGGTGAGTAGTGAATCTGAAAATGGGGTGATAAATATCGACAACATAACATAACATAACATAAACTTTATTTATACTCGAATTTTAGAGTAGCTAACAAGCTAATATCTTCGAGCTGACAATACATGAAAATAAAAAAGAAATATATATATACATTAAATGCATTATAAGTAATAATAAAAAATAATATTAATAATAATAAGCACATAAAAGAAAAGAAAAGAAAATATTATTTACAATTCACAATTTTAAGTTCAAGTCTGTCAAGCAAAAAGAATCTACATGAAGGTAACATCCTCTATTTGGTCTTAAAGTCTGCAAAAAAAACTGGTACGAAAAAAAGTCCGGCAGTGCATTCCACAGAGGAGTTAAGACCATAGGTAGTTGTTTTAGGTCTACTTAGTGAAACAATGTAGTTGCCACGAAGATCATAGGAAGAGGACTGGAGTGAAAACATATTCTTCATATAAGCAGGAAAATGAGTGAAAAACAAACTCTGACTGAAGAAGAGCGATAAACCATATACCACAAGTGCAAGGTGTAAGCTATATGTCATTCAGCATGACTTGGAATGATACTATGGCGTTATTTTACATTGGATCAGTGTTGTTTGACCTTATTTTGATCACATATGTACTACTCAAACGCAAAAAGTATGTATTCAAGTTGTTGAAAATCGCCAAAATTATTACTTAGAGTCTTAGACTAACAAACAAACTCTTGAAAGTCACCATTAAAATTCCGCGCGGGAACTAATTATGTGGAAGTGAAAGTCTGCCAGGATTACAACTTGTCGAAAAGCTGAGTACGTCCCTAGCTACTCATTCAAACACTTACTATATAAAAAGTATAGTACTGAATACGTCAATACTTCACATTAAAATTAAACAGAGCTGGAGGTAACAGCTTCACGCGGCACAAGCTCCACCTCTTCCAAATCTTGAGGGGATTTATCTACAATGCAAGAAATATTTAAAGAGGCTCAGAACTAAAGAAAGAAAAGGGTGGTGGACGGTAAGCCGTTGCCATGCACGTTCTTCTTCATGCTTACTCATCCTGTAGCAGGTAGAGGGAGACGTCAAAGAAGCCATGAAAAACTGAAGGGGACGGAGACATTGGTGTCATCAAAGATGATCTCGGCTTTGACCTTTGTTGTCCTTGATCAGCCTTTAAGGTATGTTTTTTAACTTCAAAAACGCAGATTAATAGGGAGCTTAAGCAGCGACGTTTTTGAGCGACGCACGTCAACCGGAAGTGAGGTATTTTCCCTCTTAACATGCCTTGATGATATAAAATTTGTATTCCTTAGCTTCTTTACTGTTATAGAGGCGATTTGACTGAAAATTTGCGCGAAACCACTGTCAAAAAATGAAAAAAGGCCACCTCCGGTTGACGTGCGTCGCTCTAAGACGTTGTTGCTTAAGCTCCCTAATAGTAACCGTTAAAAACGTTCAGATGGTATTTCAAATCTCTGATCATCACGGACTTCTGGCTCCTGAAGAATCCTTCAGTTCCAATGCTCTCCAAAAGACTTTCTTTAGACATTTATGATTACCGTTACAAATTGCTTTCGAAATCAATTTCGACATTTCAAAAGTGAAAGGCCAATACGACCTCCAAAACACAACAGACATCATTAACTTATATAGAAGTATTATCTACTTAAACTTAAACTCGTGGACTGTGTTTCCCTATAATAACCGTCAACCGTCAACACTGGCAAAAATTGACGGTTAATCGTCAAAGCTACCAACCCTTTAAGACCCTCTTTATTTTCAAGCGTCCGATCACACCTCTCTGTTACTCTACAGAAAACCACTCACTGTGATAGAGGAAACTGATTGGTATTGTGTCCAAAATCCAAATCCAAATTAAAACTAAACTCCACATTCCGAGGTGTATTGGACAAACTCGGTTACGCTTCATTAAAGGATGATTGTGAAAGCATTTCTTGCACGTTCGGCCCGGTTCAGACGCCGCTACACTCATGTGCCAAACCTAACTGATGAATTAAGTATGACAAAAGAGCGGCGTCTGAATCAATTTGGTGCGGCAGTTTTAGTTTGGTACGGCAAAAGAGTTAAGTTCGACAGAGTCTGTCGAGCTTTTGTCGAACTCAACTTAGGCTCGACACACGGTGAGCCGTCTGAATCAGATGTCGCATCAGCGTCGCTCCAAAGTTAGACCACGAGTAGTCTCCCATTTTTCCTCAGGGATAGTAGAGCAAGCGAAACGCGAGCGCGCGTGAAAATCACCCAGCGCGAGAAAGGCGATACGTGGTGGGGAGAGAGAAAAATGGGGTCTCGCGGCCGCGTGTCGCCTTTTCTCGCGTGGGGTGATTTTCACGCGCGCTCCCGTTTCATTCGGTCTAGTATCCCTGAGGAAAAATGGGGGACTACTCGTAGTCTACTCTAAAGTCGAACTTACTCATTTAGGTTCAACACATGAAAAATACGGCGTCTAAACCAGGCCTTACCCTACTGTGTTGGAGATGGATATGAACCGCATATTTTCTGCCATCTGATTTTCATGATCTATCTCATTATATTTGCTTACTTGATTGTGGAGGTCTAGGTCTTGACCTTCTCCATAGCGTCAAAGAAATCATTATGATCATCAATAATCCCACAAAGACACCCAGACCAATACACAGACTGGTTTGAAGCACATCTCCATTCCCATTGTCCCCTTCAGTAGACGAACTCAAATCCGGAGGAATTTCGGTTCCTAAAACGTCAATATTCATGCAAGTAGAAAATTAATTAGGACTTTTTAAGTACAGTTGACTCCCGACAACTCGAACCCTCGCAAAATGGAGCCTCCTGCTAACTCGAAGTAATTTTTGTTTCCCCTCAAATCCGATTTCTATATAATTTTACCCTCGATAACTCGAACCATGTTTTGAACTCTTAAAAAGTCGGGCGACCGAAACATTGAATTTTTAATTTCCCATTGACTTGTTGTAGGCATATAGTTTACTAGTGGAGGCTGATGTTGTTTGTCACAAATCTAACCTGAAACAGCTTTTCTTCTCAAAACAGTAAAACGCATGCTCTGTTTAGGCAATGTTTTGTTACGTTACGTTCAGGTTCTGATTTAGAAGTATCTTGAAATTTTCACTTAACATTAAAATGTTCACTGTGCAGTGAAAATCTTTTTTTTTCCTTACTCCCGGCTATTTTCTTCGAGCTCCCAATAACTCGAACTCCCGATAACTCGAACTTTTTTCGATTTCTCTTGAAGGTTTGAGTTATGGGGAGTCGACTGTACCATGCCTTTTTCCCACACAAATCAGTCTAGCTACAGTATGGCTTTAAACAGAGTATGCAGTTTAACTGCTGCTGTACCCTTCAACTGGCCTAAGAAAATTTAGCGCTGTTTCGTTTCCAAAAAGGTTATTAGTAAAAAAAATGTATCTTTTTTAAAGGGATCAAGAGCCCATCACCCAGGATCGAAGCGTCGATCGTGTACCATTAGTTTCACAGCGAGTTAGTCTTCAATTCGTTTCCTCTTTTTTGAACCCAGTATATGGCCTCTCTCTCCATGAGTTCTCCGTAGCTCAGTGGATAGAGCGCCCGCCCGGTGTTTGGGAGGTCATAGGGTCGAGTCCTGTCTGGGACTCAGATTTTCTTCTTTGTCCCAGGCTCGTTACATGCCGATTATGTCATCTTCACATTTGTTCACCAAGCTTAAAATTTGCCATCTTTCATTCTTTCAAAATTAGTTCCTGTTCACGCGACAAAGGTCTTCACAATCCAAAATGACAGACGATGCTTTAAAACAGACTCTCCTTCTTCTTCGGTCTTAAGGTACCTTAACTCGTTAAACTTTTTCACTGGATACTTAGCCTGTCTTATTCCCCTTACTAAAAAAGTTGGACTTCTTGGATTGGCTAAGAGTTTTTTGTTGCAAAAGTTGAATCTATAAATAGCCCAAAAAATAATTCCGGGCGACGATAGGAACCCCCAATCCTAATCTCCAGGTTGTTTTTTAATACGCATGCGTCGCATGTATGTGGCCAGCATTCGTTTAGACTTCCGCTAAGAACTCTCTCCTCCGCATAGCCTCCCACTGGGCATCCCAATAAAATCGAAAAACAGAAAGCGCGGGGGACGTCCCCGCGCGCTTTCTTTTTCCCTCTCTCCAGCCCTCCCTGCGATGCAAAGAGGGCTCTGCGGAGGAGAGAGCAGTAAGAATGAATTGAATGAACAAAACGCAATTTGATCACGCTCGTTTCGACCTTCTTCCCCGAGTAAACTGATAACGCGTGTTTTGACCATCTGTCAAGTGAAACTTACGCAAAAGCACAACGTTTGAGCAAAAGAGTTTGACTGCGTTTGGACCTCCGATCGGTTCTTACCTAGTCTCCTCCTGACCTTAACACTGACGTTTTTCAGCTGTAAACTAAGTGAGGTGTTAAGAGCACATATATACTCGCCGCTGTCGTTCAGTCCAACGTTATAAATAGTCAATCCAATCTTCATTCTCTTTACGCTCTGTTCTGATTGTTCCAACCAAGGGGAAGTGTTTTTTTCTTTATACTTGTCGTTACTGTTTATCCGGCTGCCGTTAAAAATCCAAAACGTGTCGACAAAAAACGCTTCCGGGTACACTGCATTGCAACTTAGCGTTATATTTTCGCCGTCAACAGCGTCTATATTCGATTTGGTTTGCACTAGAGTTGGACCTTCCAAGTCTGTCACTGTCACGGTTATATTCTGTGTTTTTATAAGGCCAGTGGAATTAGCACCGCACGTGTATACGCCAGTCTGTGATAGCATGGCATTCTTTAGTACCAACGTTGAGATGTTTGTGACTGTGTTACTTAAATCATACTCGTTTCCTGTATGAAATGGTCTAGCTTCAATCATTTTGCCGTTGAAAAGCCAGAACGTCCATACGTCCATTGCTTCGGAGCACATGACTTCACATTGCAGGGGCGCAGTGCGCCCTTCTTCAATGATGACATTTGGTGGCGATGCTTTGAGGTTCAGTACTGTAAGAAAGTAGGAAGAATTTAGGTTTCTGAGAAACTGCCCACCTACCCCTCCCCTAAGCCATCATTTGGCCCTTCGTGAGAAGGAAGTGTCAATGTTATCTTAGGGAAGGGGTAGAGCTCTCTAATAACTTCATTGAATAAACGAAGAGAATTTTGCACGTTATTATCTTGGGCCGGGTTGTTCAAAGCTGGATTACGATAACCCAGGGTTAGTGCAAAATTTGAAGTCAGATATGAAAGCTTAAAAAGTAACTTTAGCTTAATTCTTTTTATCAACAAGTTGATGATTGGATGCTCTTAAAAATAACAGAGAAAATTATCCGAAAAAATGCTTTTGAACCACAAAGAAAAAGAAACTCGGGTCAAATTTAAGCCTGGGTTAAGGTGCTAATCGGCCTTTGAACAACTGGGCCCACCTGGGTATCAGATACTTTAATGCGCCGTTTTGTTTCTGATCCCGTTTAAGTCTTAAGTGAACATTCATCGGCCTCTCTTTGGATAACGTTTATTTTAAAAAACTGTCTTCAAACTCTTGCAAACGTCCACTTTAAACATAGTCTGGTCTCAAGAGGTTGCTTTTCTACCAAAAACAAAGACCTAATACACTTTACATTTACACAAAATTTGCTCTTACTTATAAATCTAGCGAAGGTAAAAAAGTTATACTTACTGCTTTCATATAAACGCAGCTTTATTGAAGCTTCGGCTTTGTCGGTTTTGCCTAAGTTATGAACTTGGGCAATGCAACGATAGTCACCGACATCTTTCTCTGATACATTTAAGATATCTAGAGAATACTTTGCACGTTTTCCTGGAAGCCAGGTTACTTTGGTATTCCTGTTTTTTTTATTCTCTACTGTCTCGGTGTTAAACTTCCACATAAAATCGGTATCGAGTGGTTGTACATTACTTCCTTTGCAAACCAATTTAACGTCGGAGCCTCTCACCGCGGTGACTGTACTACTGAGTGAATACATTACTGGGAAGGTACTGGCATCTGTGGAGAGGAATTCAGCAATCAAAAACCAGAATGATAAGCGTCAATGTATTCAGTATGGCGCGAAATTAGAGAATAAAATGCCTGTCTTTCTGGACGCCAGACTATTTTGATATTCCTGTATCCGTTATGTTTCATCTTGTGGGTGTTAAACGTCTACTTTAAGGTGGTATCGAGTGGCTCTACAGTACTTCCGTTGCAAACCAATTTGACGCCTCTCTCTGCTACGACCGTGCTATGGAGTGTTCACATCACTGGGCCAATACTGGCATGTGTGGAGTGGAACGCTGAGCAGTTGACCATTCAAACCCCGCTAAAAAAAAAACTCAAGGAAAAGAGATAAAATTGGCGATTCTCTGAAAAGAAATTCAGTAAAGCACAGGCGGAGTCCAATTAGAGAAGAAACAAATACTGGAAATTTAGCAATGAAGAAACCTGTTGTGAGCGCATTGGACAGGGTCCCTGTGTTTGGTGTGTTGTATGGGTATCCTGTGATTTTGAGCTCGACGACATTCACGTGCATGCGTTCTACTTCTCATGAATCCTTCTTGTTCCAGGAACATTTTTTGGTTGGGTTGGTGTAATTTTTCTTGTAGTTAAATTTTGTCCTGGTAGGTTTCAAACTTAGTTTCCTGTTTTTGGTTTGTTGATGCTTGATAATTAGTTTGAAACAAAGGGAAATAAAATTCAAGCCAAGAATAAAATTTAACCAAACAATTATTTTCAACAACACCGAGGTGCCTCTTCCATGACCTTCGTCAGAAAACGTATGTGAAAAACGGTTTTGTATTGTTCAAGCTACACAGACTTAGATCCTCATATGTTTTTTACTTGTGGATACGCGTAGCTTAGAAGGCTAGTATTGCGGACACTTCGACATGCAAATCTATCACTCGTTCACTGAGACGTAGACGCACTTCCGCCCCGAACTCGTGAGCAACCGATATCAACATGACAACGGTCGCAGATCGATCGTTTCCGTGGGCGAGATTTTTCAAACTACTTCATGCTTTCCTGTCCGTTGACACTGTTCCGTCATGTCAGGCACCTGATTGCCACGAACCATTGTTTGGTTAATTGGTGCGTGTTCATTAAAACACCCCAAAAAATGTTCAGAACCATAAACCTCATCATTAAGTTAATCAAACCAGTCAATGACGCGAAAAGGCAAAATCATTGCATATCACGCACAAATCTTGCAAGATCAAAAAGTTTCTTAACTTTCATCTTGAAAACGCTCCAATACGTTGTTCTATTTTCGAATCTGTAACCTATATCTTTTAACGTAAGTATTTCATTTATGAGAAAGCATGTTTTGATCTTTGTTTACTACGTCATTCTTGAACTCGAAAATTTATTTTCATGCAATAGGAATAATGGAAATGTTCGCGTTTGAATTATGGAATAAAGGAAATTGTCGAGTTGGAATAATGAAATAATGCCCTTTTTGTGGGCAGAATAACAGATGGAATAGGGCAACTTTTCGAGATGCAATTACGGAATAATAGACACCTCATTATGCCTTTTCATTCCCCGAATTCTCTAGTTTATTTTCTCGCCCCTTCTGGCTCCTGCCCGGCTTCTTACCTGTAGTCCATAGCACAGCTGCAAGCAGCAAATTTACAAAGAGGAAATGAGTCATTTTGTCACAAGCCATTGTCTTTAACTCGAGGATAACTGTTTCAAAATTCTTCAGTGTGTCGTGCTTTGCAGAAGTTGATTTTTTCCTGTTTGATCTGCACTTTCGCTTTCACTTTCACCAGATTTGAATATTTTTATAGACTAGATGGCGATCGAGTCGAGGGGAGGTTGGGAAAGAGCCAGTTTAGTTGATGTCATGTCTCTGAGAGTGTGTACCCAAATTATTTCTTTCTTTTCTATTTCTTTTTAGCAGATGTAATCAAACTAAATTTGCCTTTGAGCTATGCATCAGATGAAAAGTCATAGAAATAATATAATTAACGGGTTTACCTAAAATCCGGAATCCGCGGGCAGAAAAAACCCATACCGAACGCCGAATGATTCTGAGGGCCCGGTTTCTGAAAGGCCGATTAGCGCTAATCCAGGATTACAAATTTGTTCCGTCTTTTTTATTTTCCCTTACTATGTATTGCTTAGAGTAAGTTTTGGTGTTATTATTGCTGTATCTCAGAGTAAAGGCACAACAGTCTTTTGCTAGCTCGAGTGGCCTGTTATTAGACAAGAAAATCTTGTTTAATTAAGATTTGGCTTAATCTTGGGTTAAACTTGACCATCTTTCTAGGAACCGGGCCCAAGTTTACTGATTAGGGTTAGAAAACTGAGTGTGAGTTTGTCTAGTATAATGACCCTAAATGGAACCTGTTTCACTCAGTTTCCTAACCCTAATCACTACATTTACATTTACATATATCATCTTGCAATATCTATAACAGGCATAATTGCAAGCTCCCAACTAATGAATAAAGTGCCACTACTAGGAAAAATAAAAATACAACAAATCGAAAGGGGTAAACATCACACTGAAAAATTGTAGTCAGAGTCAGGGTTGGCTTTTTCCGGGTCTGAGACAAACCCTGTTTAAGCAGTAGTGGAAAGGCAAGAAAATTGATTTAATTCAGGCTAAAGCGTGGAGTTAAATATCGTTCGGTTGGAGAGAGATAGGGGGAGTAGTAACGCAAGAAAGAATCATTTGACTAGACCACAGCCTTATTTAAATATTTAAAAAGGACAGTGAGACTGACCTACCTCGATTGGTTTAGCTACCCGCAGGTCAGTCGGGTTGATTGTAAACAGTTTGTTATATGTAATAAATAAACTTGAAACTCGAAACTTTAAAGGACTCGAAATGGTGACAGTTAATGGGGAACATAGCAGACAAAGCATCAAGTAGTTTGAAATTGCGTTTTAAAAGGTTAGGATCCCACATCGTACCGTGTGGTACATTTTTGCGGTTCTCTTCGCCACCAGCAAAAAATCAAAAGTATTATAGTCAAACCCCGCTTTCGGGACACCCGATTAACACGGGCACCGTATTATTACGGACAGTTTGCTTTGCCCCTGGTGGAAGAAACCCTTACATGTTGTCTAATTTTAACCCGCTTAATACGGAAACCCCGTCAAGAAAGGACACTCCCCCTCAGTGTCCGTATCAACGGAGTTTGACTTTACTGACACTAATTAAGGGAAAGAAAGTTAATTTATATACTAGGTAATAGCATGATTTGTACGTCATATTTGGCATAAATAGCACGAGTGATATTTCAAAATTGTTATACGTAATTTCACAAGCCGTTACGCGAGTGAAATTTGAGACAATCTTGAAACATCACAAGTAGTATTTATGCCGAATATCACGTACAGATCATGCTATTATTTGTTTATACTACTACCCACAAAAGGTTTGTAATTTTCACATGTAGGTATTTCAAATTAAGCTGAAATACCACTGCTCTAAGCCAATCAAATCGCAGAAACTTCTCATGTAGTAGTATAAGAGGACGAATGGGGGAATAACAGTAAGATAAATTAACCACGCAAGTGCAATACGTAAGTTGATTTTGTCCTACTATGTTAGAATTAAACTGCCGTTACTTTACGCTTGGATGATATGTTATGAGACCTGTATTTTATGTACATATTTACCTGTATTTTATTTACATATTTACTAAACACACACACAAAGACTGCGTGTGCAAGTTTTTGAAAATCGCCATAGTTACTTCGCAGTAGGAACAAACAAACTGCTTCTTGAAAAGAATTTCATAGAAAGATTAGACAGTATTAAAAACCTGACTAGAATTTGGTCCTCTAGAGGACTTTCTATTTATGGCAAAATTACACTTATCAAATCTCTATTAATCCCGAAAGTTGTTTATGTGTCATCTTTAATACCTACTCCAAAAGAATTTGTAAATCAGTTAAACCAGTTATTATTTCAATTCTTATGGAATGGTCGTGATAAAGTCACACGCAGATCGGTGATAAATGAATACTCCAACGGAGGATTAAAGATGATTGATTTTGATAGCATGATAATATCGCTTCGATTGGCATGGCTAAAAAGAATAGCTAGCTCAAATGATGGGACCTGGAAAAGGTATCTGACACATCATTTAGAACGCTTTGGCGGCCTTTTCTTGTTTCATTGCAATTATGATGTTAGTATCCTTCCACTGAATATTTCTCTATTCTATCTAGAATTACTGCAGTGGTGGTCAGAATTTAGAGATACGTTCTCTTCAGAAAAAGACTGGCGTTATATTCTTTGGAATAACAAACAAATACTCATTAATAATAAAACAGTTTATTATAAAAGCTATTTCGAAGCTGGTGTAGTTCACATCAGCGATCTATCCTTTGACTTAAATAACAAAGATTCCTTTTCCTTAGTTTCTAACAAGATTTCTAAAACTAATTTTTTAGTTTGGGCAGGTCTTCGACACTCCTTCCCTTCCATTTTAAAAATTTGTACTCATAAATCAACAACAGGTGAACTTTCTCTCAAAATTGACGATAATATATTTGATGTCACAAAGAAGAAATCTAAAGACTATTATACTTTACTTGTAAGTAGAAAGGCTCTCTTTCCAACTAATGTAAACAAGCTGCAAAATGAATTTCATTTCACACTCGAGGAAGTTAAACAAATTTTTATGATCCCGCATAGTGTTGCTCTTGAAGCATATGTTAAGGCATTTCAATACAAAATTCTTAACTCCATTTTCTATACTAATGCTAAACTTTACAAAATTGGCTTTAAATTGAATGACTCGTGCTCATTTTGTTCATCTGAACCAGAAACGCTATATCACTTCCTATATCTTTGTCCTTTCTCGGTAGATTTCTGGCGTGACTTCGAAGTATTCTGGAAAACATTCGACTTTCGTTGCAAGATGTTTTAGTTGGAATGATACGACAAAACTCCCCTTCTGCTAAGCTTCTAAACTATCTAATTATGATTGGGAAGTTGTACTTGTGGGATTGTAGAAGAAGTCAAATTCTTCCGAATATATATGGATTTGAAAAGAAAATTGCTGTAAAATATGAAACGGAAAAATATATAAGTCTGCATAGTAAAAAAACAAAGGATTTATTTGAAGCTAAATGGATAGTGTCGCCTCTTGTGAATGCTTAACTATTTAAAGGTTTTAATATGTAATTAATATATTATTCGGATTCCAGAATCTCGTCTGCCATTGCACATTGAGAAGAAATAAAACTAATCTTTATAAATGGCAAAGCTTCGTTCTTATATATTGCCTCAAGGATTTAGTGCCCCAGTATATTATGCTCACACTCCCAGACGAGTTTCATTTAATTTCCCAGCCCTTTTCGATATGAACATATTGGGCGTGGCACCTATGAAGTGCACGGTCTCCGACAATTGGCTCTCAAACTATGCTAACTATAATTTGCTTTGGAGTCTTTAAATGTCGTATGAGTCTCGTCTCCCATCCATTTCTCTCTGCAATGTCAAAGTAATGAAGCGCACGGTCTCCGACAATTGGCTCTCAAACTATGCTGACTATCATTTTCTTTGGTTGCTTTGGAGGCTTTAAATGTTGTATGAGTCTCTTCTCCCATCCTTTTCTCTCTGCACTGTCATGGTAATCCAAAAATGTTTTTGTTCGTAGAGTCTTTGGGAGCCGTGTAGGGTCAGTCCAATCGATGCGAATGATAATCACTGCTGTGTCACTTTTTTCAAAACTCCGCTGTAAGGCATAGTCCAGTTCTTGTTTGCAATATTTACTAGAAGCGTAATTGACCGACCAGACTGCTAAAACTTTACGGCTCTTATATATGCCTTCCACCATGCTTTGTAGAAACGCTTTGCCAAGTTCAAAGTGGATGAAATCCACGCAATATTTCACTTGGTTATGATTAAATAGAGGTAGAAGCTCCTTGTCCACCCAGGAGAAGTCTTTTCTGCTATATGTGAGGAATACATCATACTCGAAGTCTCCTGCGTCCAGATCTGGGGGAGATTTAACTAGGAGGCAAGAAAAAAAACGATGAGTATTGGAACAAGAAGAAAAGACGCTATCTAGCGTTGATCCCGAAGGGGTTTTTCTTCTACAGAGGGGTTGCAAAAAGGACAGCTGAGGTCTGGTAACGGCTAAACGCTTGGTTCACCTGAACAGTGCTCGGGTATCGACTTAAAATGGTGTTCTGCTCAGGCCTTGAGTACCCGACAAGTAATTCTCTACACATATACTCCATATCTCCTTATCAGACGCCTTTTTGAAATGTGGGATTAACAGGGAAAAACAAAGAATTGATTGCCCAGGGGCTAAAATAAAAACAAATCACAGTGTGCTCCCAGTGCCCGAGTAAAAAGACTCGGACATAAAAGTGGAACGCATCATCTAACATCTGATGTATTTCATCATTGACTTACTTGATTTTGGAGGCCTGGGTTTTGGCCATCTCCATAGCTTCATAGAAACTATTATGGTCGTCACCAATCCAACAAAGAGACCCAGACCAGTGAACAGTGTAGTACCAAGCAAATCTGCTTTCCCCTGGGGCTTTTCAGTAGGTTGCTGAATACGGAAACCTGGTTGGGAGCCTGGTTTCCGCGTGACGTTAACACTAACGTTTTTCAGCTGTAAACTAAGTGAGGTGTTAAGAGCACATGTATACCCGCCGCTGTCGTTCAGTCCAACGTTATAAATA